CCTGCAGTGTAGTCTCAGAACCCTTGACTAAGGGACAGGACTGTGGGAGGGGCAGAGTCACTGGCCACCCATATGTGCTAATCGCCCTCTCATGTTCAGTAGTGTGTGTGTGTGTGTGTGTGTGTGTGTGTGTGTGTGTGTGTGTGTGTATATATGCACGTGCACACGCGCGTGCTCGGGCATCCTCCTGACTGCAGAGCAGAGATTCATGCTCAGCATCCACTTTTCCTATTACATCTAGAAAAGTGGCATAACAAAATGACACGTGGGAATCAGTTCAGACTCCAAACTACCAATTTCTTCCACATTTTATCATTAGGTGCGAAGTATTGGCTTAAACGATGATAAGTTGATACCTGTTTATTCTGGCCTCCTCAGTTCATAGTAAGACATGTCCAGGTCACAGACTTTTCTAGGCGGCTCACCATTCCATGCCATATGATCTATTCGGTAAAGAGTAACTGAAATAAGCATATCTGAGCTCCTTCCTTACTTGGGAGTTGACAAGAAGGTCAGCTGGAGCTTTGCAAATCCCAGGCTTATAAGGGGCTTAAAATTCATACTGGAAATGAATGTTTTCTCAGCTCCCAGGAAGCCAAGACTCCTCAGGCTAAATAACAACCTGCAAAGCTAAGATTTAAGAAAACAAGAGAAAAGAAAATCACACCTCTGGTTTTTGCTCCTAGGCTACAGTTTGACTTAAGAAAGGGTCACGTATAAGAACAAGCACCTATCATGACCGTAACCTGACCTTCGGTCTCAGGTGACTGTCTCATTAAAGCCAGGGCAGGTGCCACCTGAGCGTCTGGATTGTCTTTCTAATCAGGTTGAAATAAATCCACCCCCAGCTTCAACATCAGCTGCCTACCTGTGACACTGTTGGATCACTGTCTGGGCTTTGCCGCGGCACCCATGGGTCCTGGAAGATTTAGACACAGATTACTACGGCTGCCAGGAGATAAACAATTCCTTCCTGACTGTGCTCAAAACTCCCGTTCTCAAGGTGCTACGCAGCAGCCACCCTCTGGATTTCAAGCTGTCTGACGCTCCACCTGGCACCCTGCTCCACTCCTTTGTTTCAGCTCGGATTTATTTCTTGTAGCTTCATGTATTACTTTCTTTCAACTACACAAAATGTATCACCTTAACCTCTTCTCTCCCCCACCTTCAATTACACAAAATGTATCACCCTAACCCCACCTCCCCCACACCCACCCCTCTCTCTCCTTCCGTACCGTCTCATTATTTCGTCCAGACTGGCCTCAAACTTGTCATCCTCCTGCACAAGCTAATAAGCCGTAGGCCCACAGCTGTGCACCAATGTTTTCAGCATCCCACCTTCTCCCTTCTTGGGGTGCAGTTAAGCACATTCATGTTGCATAAACCCATCTGCACAACTCTTTCTCACCTGCAAGACGAAACCCCAATATCCACTGAACAATTCCCCGTTCCCCCTTCTCCCTGGGCCCTGGCACTCATTTTTGGTCTTATGGGTTATTCCTGGAACGGCATTCTCATGGAATCATAATCTTTTCGTAGCTGGCATGTCACTTGGCACAGCGTTCCCTAGTTTTGCCCATGTTTGTAGTATGTTTCGACAGTTTTCTTCTTGGAGGGTCAACATTTCAATGTGTGCACACATCACCCTTTGTCTGTCTTCTGCTCATCTGTCAGTAGACAGTCCCACCTTTGGGTTACTGTGAGCCATGTACACATGGATGTGGTGTACACATACCTCCTCAGTACCCTGCTCTCTGTCCTTTATTGTTTTTTTAAAGAATTTTATTTATTTATTATGTATACAGTGATCTGGCTACATGTATGCCTGCATGACAGAAGAGGGCACCAGATCTCATTATAGATGGTTGTGAGCCTCCATGTAGATGCACGGAATTGAACTCAGGACCTCTGGAAGAGCAGCCAGTGCTCTTAACCTGTGAGATCCCTCCAGCGCCCTCTCTATCCTTTAAAACATACATGCCCTGAAGTGGGATTTCTGGATCATAGTAATTTCATTTTTAGTATTTTGAGAAGCCACCAATAAATACCATCCTTAATGCAGCTGCAACTTTTTTTGTCCCACCAGAATATTTCAATTTCTGCATAGCCTCAATATGTTTATTTTCTGTTTTACTTTTTTTAAAAAAAGTTATTTTATGTGTATCAGTTCATCCCCACCCCCATATGCAATGCCTGTGCAGGTCAGAACAGAGCATGAGATTCCCTGGATACCAGAGTTACAGATGATTGTGAGTGGCCATGTAGGCTCTAGTAATTGTACCTGAAGAGCAGCCCTGAGCACTCAGATTGACCACTGAGCAATCTCTCCAGCCCTATTTTCTATTTTTCTTAAATAGCAGCCATCTGAATGGATGTGAGGTATATTATTTTTTGTTTGTTATGTTTATTGTCTGTCCTTCCCAGTCTTTCTGCCTGCCCAGACTACAGGTTCCATCAGCAAAGCGATCCATGTCCACTGTTCTGTCCACTGTTCCATCCTTGCCTAGAACAGTACTGAGTATAGAGTAAGTGCTCAGTGACTAGTCACTGTACGAATGAGTACAGAAAAGATGGGCCTGGTAGAGCAAGCCTGTAATCCAGCTTGTTCAGGAGTCTGAGGCAGAAGGATTGCAAGCTCCATTGTGAGCTCAAGTCTAACTGCACAACTTAGCAAACTATGCCTCAAAATAAAAGGCAAGAAATTGGCTGGAGGGATACTCATCAGTATCACCCGAGACTGGCATACACAAGGCCTCCATTCAGTCCCAGCACAAAAATCAAACCAAACTAAGAATGAGCCAAATGGGTAAGAGAAAGACATGGAAAAGTGGGGTATTTTTTTTTTCTGGTTTGTATGCCTGATCTCATTATTGCTTTTCTCATGGCATGCTTAGGTTTATGTTTATCTATTACCTTTATTGATTACATTTAGGACTTTGGAAAGAAATTCTCTCTTTAATATACTTGATGAATTTTGAATATATTCCATTATCCTAGTCGTTATAATTCATGAATCCAAAGCTCATGGAATTTGGAGTTGTGGGGACCTCACAAGAAGCTTGCAGGAAAGCCAAAGAGAATCCGTGATACTTAGAACACTTAGCTATCATCCACTGCTGCCCACTTGGTATCTCTGCTGATAACCAAAGATATTTCAAACTGAACATTCCCCAAAGACAATCAAGCTTCCCTAACCTACTTCTGTCCCATGTTCCTTATTAATTAATTTACTTATTTATTTAGAGACGGAGTCTCAAGTAACTGAGGGCGCCTCAAAATTCCCGCACAGCTGTGAAGGTCTTGAACTTCTGATCCGTCTACCTCCACCTCCCACAGGCACACACTATCACATCTAGTTTTCCTGTACTCCTGCCAGAAACAGGGGATGCCTTTCCCCCTCTTCCTCACTCGGCACCTTTCTCTATCCACCTGCAAATAAATTATCCTTACGACTCACGTACCTTAAATACTCAGTCTACGCTAGGCACTGTTTTAGGTCCATTGCATGCATGACCGCTTTCTTCCTTTTAACTAGGTGGACTAGAGTCTGCTAATTTTTAGCTGTGATCCAGATAAGAGAACAAGTTAAGTCCCTTGTCCAAAGGCACTCAGGGAGGAGGGAGCAGAGCCAGGAAACATCTGGCTTCCGAGCTTGCCTAGGCTTCCATGCTGTTCGGATAGACATGCTTTCGGTTTCAACCTTCTTTACTGGAAATCACTACAAATGTCTAAGACTACTTCCTTCAATTGATACGAGAACAGGATTCTAACAATTCAGACCTGTCTACATCCTCCATCTCTATGCAAACCTTGGCTAATGCAGGTGGCCATAGCCAGGGCCAGACGGAATCTACAGTCTTTGCTGGGATGTTGGGCTGAAACAGAAGTCCTAGCAGCACTTGATTATCGTGCATTTTGATGTTTTTGTTTTTGTTTTTTGTTGTTGTTGTTGTTGTTCAAGTAGGATATGTCAGTAAAATTTGAATTAAAGGCTGTACTAAACCAAATATGCTGTAGTAGACACCTTCATTAATATCGAGGCACATCTATTACAAACACCAAATTTTCTTCTTTGGAGGATGTATTAATCTTGGAAGCAAAGGAGGCTGGGAGGCAGACAGCCCAAGCCCAGCTCCTGTCACATTAAATGAAGCATGTGCTTAAAAATGCTCCACAGCCCTGCTGGCTCCAGCAGTCCCATCTCGAAACTGAGAAGGATAATAAAGGCTCACAAGTTGGGGGTTTCTGATATCTGCAGATATCAAGACCACCGCGGGGCTAGCAAGTATCACTTCTCGGTTTCAAGCTTATTCTGTATATAATAACCCCATTACACCCGTTGGCCATCAGAGGAACATTCAGACGTGATACCTTTTAGTCAGCTGTCCTGGCTCGTGACTGTAATCCTAGCCCCCATCAGGCTGAGGCAGGAGGACAGACAGCAAGTTTAAAGCCAGCCTGAGCTCCGTAGTGCGATCCTGTCTCAAGCAAAGCAAAGCAAAACACAGCTAAACAAAGATCCAGTTTAAATCTAAAAGGGCACACTATCCAGGCCCCAAGTTCCCTTTAGCAAACAAAGGAAACAGCACCGACCCAAGCTGTTTGGCAAGTGCCAAGTGCGAACCGGGGCTAGGAACAGACCAGCACTCAGTGTTACCGGGAGATTCAAGGTCAACACTTGCGGCTTCATTTCCATCACCAGGCGGGCGGGCGGCGCTGCCTTTCACAAAGGCTTGTCCTATATTCTGAAGAGTTGTATTAATTCCCCAGCTCACCATTTCAGCCTCATGCAGAGTCCAGTTACTTTCAACACTCCCAAATGGTGTTTGGCCTTTTGCCTTCTTCCTTTAGATGACATCCAAAGAGACACCGAAAATAAAGAAAAAAAAAAAAAAAACACAGCGAGCTTGAAGTGATTTCAGCTAAAGACTTTTAGCTAAGCATTACTACACAGAAATTACCCTTAGTGGAGCAGGGAGTGTCCTCTAAATCCTACCTGGTTTTAAAAAAATCCCTTAAAATATTTGGCCAAAGGAGTGTTGTCTGACCTAGATGGGTTTTTGCCTTCTCCCTTCTCCATCCCCAGTACACAGTTGACACTTTTCAAATGACAACGGATCTCTGTGGGTCCTCGCAGCCACAGCAGAGGATCCTCAAAGTGGCTGAGTTTGACTCTGCCTTGGGAAAAAAAAAAGCCAACAAAAGCAAACCACAGCAGCAAAAGCAAATCTCCAGCATCCAGAAGACAGCCTGGCACGCTCTGTCCAGTCTTCCTAGGAACAGCCAGGCCTCGTGAGGCAGGGCCTGCAAGCTCCCGCCTACATAGCTTATCAGCCGGAAATGCTTTCCAGTGAGCAGACATACCTAAACCATTTCTATTGCCCAACGGGTGGCATGAACCAGGCGCACAGCAAACAGCTTCTGTCAAGGAAGTCTAGGATTCTTTCTTTTCTTTTCTCCCCGCCTCCCGACTTTGGTGTTTTGGAGACAGGGTTTCTCTGTGTAGCCTTGACTGTCCTGGAACTCAGAGATCTGTCTGCCTCTGCCTCCTCCAGAGTGCCGGGATCAAAGGTGGGTGCCACCACGGCCCAGCTAAATCCCGTTTTCTTAACACTTTACAGTTTCTTCAAAAGCGAAGAGAACTGTGCCAGCCCTGAAGGAGTTAGCAGTAACTGGGCACTAGATTTTTTTGTTTTCTCATCTCATGAGACCCCAGTGGATCTAAATCCAGCCAGGTATAATGGCTCCGAAAGATTAGGGACTCCATCACGACAGGCTGTGGGTTGGGGTTCCTGTTGCCTCCCCTGAACTCTGTAGCAAGCATTCTCGTTCTCCTCCTAAAAGAGGGGCTTTATTAAGGCGGGTGAGGTAGCACTTGACTTCAGTTCCAGCCCTCAGGGAGCTGAAGCAGGATGGCCACGGGTTAAAGGTCAATCTAGGTTAAGTTATGAGAACCTCTGTCAAGAACAACCAAACAAGCAAACCAAACATCAAAACACAAGAAGAGAGACTATACTTGGTCTTACTGATTATTCAGCCAATCTACAGCCTCCTTGAAGGACCTACTGTGTGCAGAAAGGGAGAACTCAACCCCAAACCTGTCCAGGAAAAGTTAGCATTTAAAATATTCTCTTCAGGCAGAAGCGGTGGCACAGGCCTTTGATCCCAGCACTTGGGAGGGAGAGGCAGGCAGATCTCTGAGTTCTTGAAGCTAGTCTGGTCTATAAGAGTGAGTTCTAGGACAGCCAGGGCTACACAGAGAAATTCTGCCTTGAAAAACCAAGTGGGGAGAAAACCTTCTCTTAACTGGATCTGAGGGTGCATGCCTTTAATCCCAGCACTCCCTGTGAGTTTGAGGACAGCCTGGTCTACACAGTGAGGTCCAGGACAGCCAGGACTACATAGAGAAGCCCTGTCTCAACAAACAAACAATCAAACAAACAAACAAATAAAAATGGAAGTCCCTCTTGTCATCTGTCTTGCAGAGGTGTCTTGGCATCCTTGAGTGGTCTCATTCCCCCATCCTTTGCGCACACTCTCAGAATCACTTCCCAAATGTTAGGGAAGGAACCCACAAAACCACAGGCCAAGGCTGGGGTAGCAAGTGGCACTCGGGTTTCCCTGTTCTTGCCATCCGCTATTGCTTGGTAAGTGCTTCCTGGAGTGTCATACTGAGGGATGCCCCAGGCCTGGACTGCACCTGGGAAGGAAGGTATTGTGACTGAAATGTCTGCCATAGGCTCTTACGGAAGGCCAACCTGGGGGGGGGGGGGCAGGCATGGCATGGAGGCATGATGTCACGTCTGAGCCCAATGCAGAGCCATGATGTCATTTCTGAGCCTACTCTACTGGCGAGAGCCAAGTGACTTTTTCTCCGCTGTTTTGCCCATGAGACTCTTTCTTTAAATGTAGAAATCACATCAATAATGAAAAATTACTTAAAAGTATTTGCCACAACAAATGTTTGAAGGAAATACATTTCAGAGCTGGGGAAGACATTATAGTGGATACAGTTCTTGCCCAAAAGGTGAGAGGATCCTGTGAGGGGGAGGGTATGGGGGTGGGTAACTGGCCACCTAGTCTAGCCAATCAGTGAGGTTCTGGGTTTGATGAGAGACTCTGTCTAAAAATCTGAAGTGGTAAATGATAGAGGAAGACATCTGATTTCACAGTCTGTCCTCTCTGCACATGCACACAGGGCACACTCACCCTCACATACATGTGCACACCCACATACACCACACAGAGAGAGAAGAAAGAAATAAAAAAGACCATACATGTTTCCTAGAAAAGACCTTGACTGAGGAATTAGCTGGCATATTTCACGAGGGACATGGGTGGAACTTGTTCTCAGCCTCAAGAGCACCCTGACAAAGTACACCCTATGGTGCTCCACCGTGAGAGGAATAAGAAGGCACGGGAAGCCCTCCAGCAGTTATACAGCCTCCGTGAAGGGACTGGGCAGGTAAGAGGGCCAGAGAAGAAACCCAGATTCAAGACTAGGCAAATGCCAGTGATCTCAATGACAAAAGGATGCAGAAAGTCAATGTTTTCATGGGGAGAATGGAGACTCTAGCTTCTTGGATTTGAGGCAGCCAAGTGCCTCGACCAATGGATAGATAGGATTTGCTTGCTTTCTGCTCTGGCCGTAACCATGTGATGGGCCAAGTGGATGCAATGTAAGGGAAGAATCATGGTGTTTGTTTGTAGGTTTCGCCACTCTCTAGGTCTTTTTGGCATCCGGTTTGAATGCTTAGGAGGGGCCTGCTAGGTCAGGTCTCTGGAGGGGTAGAATTCGCCTCCCTGGATCTTCTTTGTTTTCTCAGCCAACTGGCTCCCAGGTGGGGAGAGATTTCTGGCAGTAGACGCAGCACGCAGCAGGCAGGAGACCTCAGAAAGGGCCGGGCAGTGGGGGCAGCGTGTGACACTGGAGACAAACACAATTAGCTGTGCCCCACACAAACTGAAAAGATGCAGTGGGAAGACTGACTCCCTCTGCCAAGAGAGAGAAGCAAAGGGAAACTCGTCTGAAAAGAAACTGAAAAGAAACCTTTTCGTTCCCTTGGTAGCGGCGGCCAAAGGCAGTCCCACATTTCCTGTGACATCCCTTCTCAGTGTGGGTTTCTTCAACACTTCAGACTACCACAATAAGAGTTGGACTGCTTCATCAATGCTCCTTACTGAATAGAATCCATTAATATTACAAGCTGGTCCTTGCTTGACTAGAGATGATACCGGAGCCTCTCAAAGCCGTTCTGTCCCTGTGTGCCAGTTCTCAGCAATGGCTGGGTGACTGAGTTCGTGGAAACCAACATGGAGATTTGTCTTTATGGAATTCAGTCACAGTCTGCTCTTCTGAAGATCCAATCCTTTAGTGTGAGGATTAGCTACAGGAGTGGGGTCTGGAGGTAACTATATAGTATTTGGTAAGCAGGACAGGCTCTGGAGTTAGGCAGCATGTGCGTGGTCACTCCACCATTTACTTATGAACCGGGTGACCTGAGCAAGTCTATAAGGCTGCAGTCTCATTGTGTGTGAGACACAGATTATCATGGCATTCCATGGAGAGAGCTGTTGTGAAGGTGAAAGATTTATAACAACAAGTCTTTATCTTTTAAGTCACATTTTAGAAGATTGACAAATGATATTCGGGGTGTACTTCAAAATAATCTGGAGGTAAGATACATAAAAAACAAACCAACAAAAAATCTTGTCAAGCCAGGTGTGGTGTCATATGCCTTTCATCCCAGCACTCAGGAGGCAGAGGCAGGTGGATTTCTGTGAGTTCAGGGCCAACTTGATATACAATAGTGAGTTTCAGGACAGCCAGAGATATGTAGAGAGATCCTGTCTTAAAAAACAAACAACAGCCAGGCAGTGATGGTGCATGCCTTCAATCCCAGCACTTGGGAGGGAGAGGCAGGTGGATCTCTGTGAGTTCGAGGCTAGCTTGGTCTATAGAGTGAGTCCCAGGACAGGCTCCAAAGCTACACAGAAAAACCCTGTCTTGAAAAAAATGAAAAAAACAAAAACAAAAAACAAAAAAAAAAACCAAACAAACAAAAAACAAAATAACAACAAAAAAACAACAGCAACCAAGAAGTGGAAAAAAAAAAAGAAAGAAACTTGACTATAGTTATTCAAATTGGGTGAGGACCTGGGGAGAGGGTTGCTACCATTCTGTCCCAAAATATTTACAGCACAAATTTAAGAAAGAGAATAGAATGCATTAAAACTCTTCAAACACAGCATACATGTACTCAATACATATAATCTGTTAGAGATCAGGGAGAATCTCAAAGGCATTTTTCACACTCACAGAGTCACCAGGAGTTGAGCCTGCCTCTGGACACCAGCACAAAGGGACATGAGTGGGTGCACTGCAAACCTCACTGTCACTCGAAGCCACCCATGACTGCCCAAGCTTTCCGTTGGGAAGTTTGCTAAATTAGCTGAATTCATTATTGACACACACAATCACAAAGAGCTGCAGATTTGCAGTATCTTAAACAGTTATCATCACCCCAACCCAAAGCCAAGCTCTTTTAAACTTCATGGACTCATGCAGCAATTCGATACACAGATTTGGGGGGTTACAGGCATATGAAACAATGGAATAAAAAAACGTTCACTGAAGACACCCTCTGAACCCTACCCTGTGCTGTGGACGGACTCAGGAAACCACTTACACTGATTCAGTCGCCACCAGAAACTCTGAACTGTTAGAATTTCTTCAATAAGATGCTGAGCTGAACAGGAAGCCTGACCCTGAAGTAATTCTAGGTTGGATACTCAGGGGCCCTTAACTTAAAATTAAATCAGCGTTTTCAAACTCCATGTCCCAT